AAAAAAAAAAAAAAAAAAAAAAAAAAATCCCAGATTTATCTACTGCCTGAGACACAAAGACAGACCAGTCAGTCATAGGTCCCAAGAAGGTGACTGCTGGTTGGCCCTGTGTTCCCATTTGCCTTCCTCTCTGTTTCTGGTCTTGTTTCTCCTTCTCTGACCAGATTCCCTCCCTGGCCTCCTGTCCTTCAGGGAGGAAAAAGGGCCAACAGGGACATGTCTTACCCTGAGGGTTTATTAAGATCACACAGTTCTTGCTCCAGGCGTCTGCCATGCCATTCTCCTGGCAGCTAGAGGGCTTGCCACCCATAGGGAAACAGCTGAATGAGGAGAGGATACAAACTGAGGGCTACAGGCTGGGCGCAGTGGCTCATGCTTGTAATCCCAGCACTTCAGGAGGCCAAGGCAGGAGAATTGCTTGAGACCAGGAGTTCAAGACCAGCCTGGGCAACATAGTGAGATCCCATCTCTACACACAAAAATTTTTTATTGTACTTTTAGCTCTGGGGTACGTGTGCAGAACCTCCAAGTTTGTTACATAGGTATACACGTGCCATGGTGGTTGGCTGCCTCTATCACCCCATCATCTACATTAGGTATTTCTCCTAATGCTATCCCTACCCTAGTCCCCCAACCCCCGATCCCAGCTCTACACAAAATTTTTTTTTCAAGGCAGCGCTGAAGGAATCTACACAAAATTTTTAAAAATTAGCCAAACTACAGCTGGGCGTGATGGCTCGTGCCTGTAATCCCAGCACTTTGGGAGGCCAAGTTGGGTGAATCGTGAGGTCACAAGTTTGAGACCAGCCTGACCAACATCGTGAAACCCCTATCTCTACTAAAAATTCAAAAATTAGCTGGGCATGGTAGCACATGCCTATAATTTCGGCTATTCAGGAGAATGAGGCAGGAGAATCGCTTCAACCCAGGAGGCGGAGGTTGTGGTAAGCCAAGATCTCTCCACTGCACTCCAGTCTGGGTAACAGAGCAAGACTCTGACTCAAAGAAAAAAAAAAATTAGCCAGGTGTGGTGGCATGTGCCTGTAGTCCCAGCGACTTGGAAGGCTGTGGTGGGAGGATGGCTTGAGCCCAGCAGTTGGAGGCTCCAGTGAGCTATGACTGCACCACTGCCCTCCAGCCCGGGCGACGAAGCAAGACTCTGTCTTAAAGAAAAGACTGAGGGCCTGAGGAACTGTCTCCCAAACCAAAACAAAAGTGGATGGGGGCTGGGCACAGTTGCTCTCACCTGTAATCCCAGCATTTTGGGAGGCCAAGGCGGGTGGATCACCTGAGGTCAAGAGTTTGAGACCAGCCTGGCCAATACAGTGAATCCCCATCTCTACTAAAAGTACAAAAATTAGCTGGGCGTGGTGGTGGGCGCCCATAATCCCAGCTACTCAGGAGGCTGAGGCAGGAGGATCACTTGAACCTGGTCAGCTGAGATCATACCACTGCACTCCAACCTGGGTGACAGAGCAAGACTGCCTCAAACACAACAGAACAAAAACAAAAAGTGGACAGGTACAGAGAGGGATGCAGGAGAAGAGGACAAAACGGTGCCCTCAAGTAGGAAGGCCAGGAGACGCAGCAGGAAGGAAAAAGGCTAGACCTCAGGATGGACTTCCCAAGTGGGCCCTCCAAAGGGATCATTAAACACAAGAGAAATCAGCAGGTGTGGGTATGGGACGTCAGAACAACTTCTTACCAACTCATATCTCAGAGAGACTAAACGGGAGAGATTGGCTGGTTTCTGCCAGTAGGGAGGTACAGCACAGAGGAAGAGGGGACACACAGAGGACACTTCCAAGCTGCCCCCAGAGGCCCTTCCCCAGGCCCAGCTCCTGCCCCGCTCCCGCACCCCCAGCTCACCCAGGTTCAGAGGATTCAGGTAACTTCCAGGCCGCCCCCAGCTGCATGGAATCGCCTGCAATCTTTCTATCAGGGAGCAGGTTGTCATCTAAGCTGTTGTTGTTGTAGTTCCCTGGAGGAGGGAATCGTTAAGACAGGCAACAAGGGGCCCTCCAGCAGGCCAGGCCCCAGGGCCACCATCCTAACCAGAAGAGGTGTCCTCACTCTTCACTCTACATAGCAAAGTCAACTCTTTCTATTTATTTATTTATTTTTGAGACAGTCTCACTCTGTCACCAAGGCTGGAGTGCATTGGCGTGGTCTCAGCTCACTGCAACCTTTGCCTCACAGGTTCAAGCGATTCTCCTGTCTCAGCCTCCCAAGTAGCTGGGACTACAGGTGTGTGCCACCACACCCGGCTCATTTTTCTATTTTTGGTAAAGATGGGCTATCACTATGTTGGCCAGGCTGGTCTCGAACTCCTGATCTCATGATCCACCCGCCTCAGCCTCCCAAAGTGCTGGGATTACAGGC